GGTGGCGCAATTGGTTAGCGCGTACGACTGTTAATCGTGAGGTTGAGAGTTCGAGCCTCTCCCTGGACGCTTGTTACATTTTTGTCTCTTCCAGCTCTAGCCTGGCATTGGCATTCGAATTTCTTTTTGCTGCCTCAATTTACATTCACTGTACGTGCAGATGATCTTGCGCCCAATGTACTTCGTCCTGCAGACGATGATCCGCGCGTTGCCCCCGCCGTGCGTTGCGCCAGGATGCGTATCTGGTAGCCTTGCTCCAGGAGGTAGTCCACGTTGATCAGAATAAGAATTCCAGCCCGGAGCAGCAGAGCGCTCTTCGGGCGCCTCTTTCCAATCTGGTGCTGCTGCTGTCGGGTCGCTCGGTCCATGGTTGCCGCATCCCCATAGCAGGTCTCCGCATATAGCATCTCTGCCGAGCGAAGGACGCATTCCTCAAGTGGCATCGGACGCGAGGAGGCGGCGGCTCGCTCCGGAAACGCGACGATGCGGGCAGCGCAACCTCGCCTGGAGGAATGGGGAGCAATGGCGGCCGTATTCCGGGTCAGCATGTACCTCGGACTGGACATGGCTTGGCCAAGCCAGACGTCCATCAGTCTCGACGTCACTTACTCCCCTTCACAGACCCGGATATCGACTGGTCGAGAGCTTGTCAGCGGCGTGTGGATGTTGTCTGTTCTCTGGTCGCAGAAGGTGACGCGGACCGACTCCTCAGTCACTTTCTGGAAGAGCGGAGGACTGGTTGTGATGAAGAGCTTCACTGTTGCTTTTACGTGTTGTGGAAACAGTGTCCAGCAGGAAAAATAGTTTGAACAAAAGCTTTTGCTTGCGGGAACAGCACCTTGTAGGTAGGTCGGAGGGAAAAAAGCTTTGTCGACGTAGCATAGCAAATGTTAGAAATGTGAACTCTTTATTCCCCGTTTTCAGGCCTTGTGCCTTATATGTACTGTACCGTGTATCGTACGAACCATATTATCATATTACTGAACCCGATCAACGCTGACTCTTGGAACTGAGCAAGATAATCAATATCTTTTCTAGGGTATCGTCTCTATCAATTCACTGTGATGTAGTGCGCTGTGCACTCTTTCGCGCCGTCGGCTCCTTCGGTCTCGCTTCCCGCTCTTGCGCTTTCCCCATCAGAGAGAGCTATCGTCAGCTCAGGCATGCATGAGATTCAATCTAGGAGTTGAGTATAGTTCATTACATACTTACCTGATATCTCTTGTTCTTCTAATTCTCTCTTTCCCAACAGTTACCCCCAAATATACCGCCATCACGTCTCCTGCAGCTCAAAGTACTCCAGCCATGTAGACCACTCCGGGTCTTGCGGATACAGTTCTGTCAACCCGAAATCCATCAGCCCCAAAGAATACGATGGCTCCTGGACTTCTGGCTCACTGATGTGCCCCCCAGAGCCTTGAGAAGCATCAGCAGGGGTATTCAAGATCTGGTCGAGGCACTGCGAGAAGACCATCTGCGCCTGCTTGCAGATCTGGTAGTTACTCTGTCCAGATATTACCAATAAATCACAGCATGAGATAAGAGCACCAATATCTTGGATTATGTCGGAGTTGTCCAGGGTTGCGGGCTGATTAGGCTTGCCACTTTGTCGATATAGTTCGAGGATCAGGACGCTCGCACACGGCATGGCGTAAAAGACCATCTATGTGTAGAGATTAGTCTTGGATTAAAGCTTCCATATCCTTAGCAACCTCGTTTCATTTATAAGGGGGAAAGAAAAACTGATGTGAAAATACACCGTTGCTTCTAAGTTTGGAGTCACTATTATATCAGTCCTCTTAAGTAGTGATAGCGCAAGATGAAGGATTTCGTGCGAAGTCTGGATCACCTTATCACAATTGCCCTTGTGCTGGCTGATCAGTAATTTATAAAGAAGAAACTTCGAGTACAGATCTTCAAGACGAGGACCTATCGCTCCCCAGATAGCACTCGGCAGCAGACCATTAGACATTAGTTGTTCATCTGGCTTGTGAGGTATCGATTCCCATGTCGATGTCAATTTCGATAGGGTTCGTCTAGGAACATCTCAGCAAGTGTGCTATGTCTTGGAGTATGCGATAATCTAGTATTCAAAAATTACCTTGCCTTTTGAGTGATGTTGGGTACTAGTGGGCCGAGCGACAGCTCCAACACTTCTTCGCGGATCATACTCAGTAGCACTATTGCTCGAAGACGAGAAACCGGATGAACCGGACCCTCTCTGCTCCAGCCGTTCGCATCTAGACCAGCCTTAGCAGTCTCAACTGTTCCGCGGGCCCCGTAAGAATCGCATCGGACAAGTCGAGTGGCAGGTCGACGGTACAGTACCTTTGACTCAGCCTGGGCGGCCGACCAACAAAGGTGGCTAACTCCTTGTCTCGTTCATGCGCAAGGGCGATGACTCTTTTGCGCAGCTCTCGCAGATATTGAGGTTCCGATTCTCTGCTGCATAGAAATCCATTATGGTAGCCCAAAGCAGTGACCGTTGACGCTAGGTCGCCCATTAGACCCCAAGCGCGGGCGGAGTCATCTCCAAAACACCACGTTGCGAGCGTTAAGACAGATGTCAATAGCCATGGCGTTAAATCATTCGTTTGGTCAGCTTGATCACAGAATAATCGTGTCTGGATGCTGATGTGGAAGGCCATCAGCATCGTCTTTTAGCGATCGAAGCTGCTGCTAGACCTTCTGGAGTCATTGCTGGACTCTAGACGGTTGGCGGCCCGCATGCTTGCGCTGGACAGTCCAATGCGGACACAGCACATGCCAATAGTCTCCCAGCGCAGGTATGGACCCGACAGAGCCAGCTCGATGGTGTCCTTTTCCGCCGACGTCGGCAAATCCAGCGGACGCGCAGTCTGTTGAAAGATTGATAGGAAGGTGCTGGTAAGTTGGTCCAAAGAGGGTCTAGCCCCTAGCCCACAGAGGGTACTCTGCACGGCTCCCCACGCTGCCTTGAACAGCAGTGAACCACATAGGTCGCCTGGATCGTTCTCGTACTGATTGCCGCCCATTTCCTGGTATTCGGAGGTGAAGTCAAGGAAGGAGCGTAGAACCTCTACGCCTTCAGAAATTAATGTGGGAGTGAATGGGTATGCATTTTTGGGTGCGATCACGCTTGTCCGGGTCAGATATGCGAATGCGCGGTGAAATGGCGTGGAATTGGAGTCTGCGAACGGCATCAACGGATTATGCATGGTCACCAGCCCTGGGCCTCGGTCATGCACGTCTGCAGGCAAGGTCTCCGCTGGCGGGCTCGTAGCCGTTGGAGCGTGCACGCTCACCAACGGGACGGTGGCGAAATCAACTTGGCTCGCGCTCTGGGGTGCTCTGTGGGGTAGAAGGTTTATCAATCATGTATATGACACGGGGGTTGGGAGAAGAAAATAAGGAAAGGGGCGATCTTACGGCAACTGATCGATAGAGGGGTCTCTACCTCGTGTCATAGGCGATGGGTGATAATAGCACTGTTGTGAGATGTTGCGACGCACGCAACGCGTAAAATACGGCCTTGCATGATTGCAGCGAAGCTTAGAGCGTCGACACGGCTCACAAGACGAAGGCAAGCCATTACGACGAATTCTGTCGGTCATGTTGAGGTGCGATGAAATCGATATGGAAGTATGTATATGGTAAGGTTGGCTTATCTCGAGGGGGAGGTGGTAGTGGTGTGGGTGCTAAGCCCGATCCTGCCTAGTACTCCGAACTCCATACTCCGATGTCTCTCCAATGTCTCTCTTCTGCAGGATCAAGGGGTCGAATGCCCAGTCGAATTTAATCCAATTTCTTGATATTGCGCTGGGCATAAGCCACTGGCCAACCAGAGCCTCTCATGGAAAGCTGGGCAGCATCTCAGACTCGAACCGACCCAGACCGCCTGAAGTTTTGAGCTCTTCTGCTGACAAGAGCGAGGAGCCAAACTTCATTGCAGATATGCGTCGTTATATGCCACGAGAACACTGGCGCTTTCTACGAGATTTCGTAATAGTGTCGAACATACGCCCTTCTGTCGAAACGAACCTCCAGCATAATCAGTTGGCGTTTTCCTACCCTACGATGAATGTATCACTGCCATAATCAACTTTCTGAACTCTCACAAGAAAATGGTGAGCCGCTACATTATTTTACAGAAATCCCGGAGCTATCCGGTCGTAGCTGCGGCTGTGGAAACATATCAACCAAGTGTTGTTGTACCATTGGATCCCAGCACCCAAAAAACGAGCAAGAAAATGAGTGCAGGGAAATTGACGAAAACACCCACTGGCACAGGCGGTACGGCACTCATACCTTTTCTTAAGGAGGCACGAGATGAGACTCGTCAAACATCCTTGGCGAAAAGCTATCAGTGCCGCCAGACGTCTTCTTAAAGAAGATAATAAGAACATACTACTAGCTTGGATCAGTCCCAGGTTTATGTGATATCCGATAAAAGCTGAAAAGAGTACGCGAGGCGCCCAGGGAAATACCAGATGAGGATATTCCAATCAATGTCTGCTAAAACTCAAATTGAGATGAGAGAGAGCAATCTCGCAGCGATCATCTCTCCGTCGTGGGGTTGGTCGACCGGAATTCTGCCGTCGTAAAATGTCTCGTGGGTGAGGACTACTCCGCGGCGGGGATCCAGTAGCTCCCCTATAATACTCGCACTATATTCCGGAGGCTCCTGCAGGCTGATCAGGCGGTTCTTGCTATACAATCCTTGCACCAAGCAGCCCGCTGAGGATTCTAGGCAGTCGGCATTTACTGGATAGTGTGGAAGCGCATCATGGTGCATATGGTGGATAGCCTGCGTGGTAGCATCATCTTCAGCTGCAGATCATGGCTATCAGAAGACACGAAACATGACAAAAAATCTTTCCCAAACAGCAGCTGCCCCGTAACAGTCATCTTGACCTCGGTGACCTCGAATTCTGCACTGAGTCGGAGTACCGCTTACTCCGATAGTCTTGAGCCTTCATCCTCCCCCCCCTTTATGTATGTCCTTCCGCTTCGCTGATCCACAACATTCGACCAGCTTCCTCGATGACTTGGTTCATTCCCTGGAACTCTGTTTCTCCGCGGCCTGAACTCGATAAAGCTCCGCTAAAATAAACCTATGGCGCCTGCGTCGACTGCTCGCACCTCGGGGGAGCGGAATGACAATGGTCAAACTGGCTTATCGTCGATCTCCTCCCACGAAGCGGCCAGAGACTCAGGAAAGATCCAGCCTAAAGCCAGTGAACCAGCTGGAAGCGCTCACGAGCTCAAAGGAATTCGATTTGTTCTTCTTCTTGCCTGCCTTTTCTTGGGTAATTTCTTCGTTGGCTATGTAAGTCACTGCCTACGGACTTGTGCAAGATGATTACATGCTGATACGCTTCAATCTCAAAGGACAGCAGCTGTATAGGAACCTTGACTCCGCTTATTACAGATCAATTTCACGCTCTGAACGAGCTTGGCTGGTACCAAACAGCATAGTATGGCAAACAAGACATCTATTTGAGATTATTCTGGATGTTGCTGACTTACTGGTGCTCTTTAAAAGCTTGCTCACCCTCTGTGCGCCAACGTTGATCTAAGGACGATTGTATACTTTTTATTTAGTGAGAACGCTGTACATGGCAGCGTTCACCATCTTTAGCATCGGCTCAACCTTGACGGCAGCTGCACCATCATCGACGTTGTTTATTATAGGTCGCGCATTGAGCGGACTGGGCGCGGCGGGCATTGACTCGGGTGTCAGCATCATCATCGCAAATACCACCTCACTTGAACGTCGGCCTATGTTTTCCGGTATTTCCGGCGGCCTGGAGTGCACCGCGCTGGCCTTTGGCCCTTTGGTTAGTGGGGCCAAAGCCAACTCCACCACATGGAGAATCAGCTTTTACATCCTCATCCCCATCGGAGTCGCCATTATTGTGATGATCTACTTCAGCATCGGCCATCTCCGTCAGCCCGACCACTCGGGACTTGGTAATAAAGAAACACTAGCACTTATCGACTGGGTCGGTCTGGTCATCGAACTACTGATGACTACGTGCTTGGTTTTAGGCTTACAATGGGCCGGCATGGTCTATCCTTGGTCTGACTGGCGAATCATCCTCCTGCTCACCATCACGGGCGTAATGTTGGTCTGTTTCCTGCTCGTTGAGCATAGAGCCGGAGATAATGCCATGGTGTCTCTGAAAATGCTACGGCAACGAACGGTCGCCTTCGCCAGCCTGACGGCATTTTGCAACTTCTCTGCATTATGGGCTATTTCGTTCTATGTATGTCACAAATCTATCTTCTTACCTCTGGCGTGGTCTACGACGACATGGAATAGAATTAATTTAAAAGTAGCTACCCTTGTACTTCCAAGCCGTACGAGGGGCAAGCGCGTTGAGCTCAGGTCTTATGTACCTGCCCCTAGCTTTGACTATGTCGATAGCCGCCCTGCTAGGTGGGCCGATCACGACCTATATCGGATACTACAGTCCAGTCTTGATGCTTGGGGGCGCTCTGAGCATGATCGGCACGGGCCTTATGACCACCTTCCGACCAGACTCACCGGCTGGGAAGTGGATTTCCTATCAGATCATCTACGGTCTGGGCATCGGCCTCAGCTTCCAACCCCCTTTCCTGGCCGTACAGAACGTACTGCAGGGCCCCGCAGTGTCGGCTGCCCTGATATTTTTGAACTCTGTACAGATCCTCGGCGGCATCATCGTCCTCTCTGTTGCACAAAACGTTTTTCTCACGAGGCTGGTCAGCTATCTGGACACTGTGTTGCCGCACCTAGACAGGAGTACAATACTGAATAATGGTGCTGTTGGCCTGGTGGATAGCGTTTCGGGAGCTCATCGTGGACAAGTCTTGGCTGCTTACAACAAAGCGCTGGTGGATATCTTTTACATCGCTTGGGGCTTTGCTGTATGGCTATTATCAGCACCCTTGGCATCGAGCTCAAGCGTATTAATACAGAAGGACAGCAACCAGACAGATGAAAGCGACACCGCAATGGCCGGCTGGCTAAAAATAACTGTCAAGTTATCGATTTAGCCGATCGCTCGCTTGAAGTGTTTCAGATCCTGTCAGATACAGTGTATCCGGGGTAAGGATAGCGCAAGTTTTACTACATGCGTAACCCCCTCATTAAACGTTGCGCGATTTAAACAGAGATCATACAGGTGACGAGGGGTCGAGCATAGAGACTATTGATGTCCACAATAACTAGTGTTAAATTGTTCATGCACCTCGCGAGACGACTTTATTCAAGTTGTCCCGGGCTCCGGGAGAATAAGCCTCCTCTTGCCCTATGTTGACCTTGTGGTATCAGAAACTCTGATGAACGAGATCTGCAGTGATCGGTCCCCGCCATTTAGTGGTCTAGCACATGCAGATCGCGTCGGAAGGCAATTAATAGAGCCTGTTACCCATCTAACCGTCCAACTTGCCCTCGGACGCCATTCTCCGTCGTTACTGATCTATATACTTCGCCTAAGCGCGTATTTGGGCGTTTCACAGAATCCTGATATGGTAAGAAATCCCGCCAATGATCAGTTTTTGACAGACATCCAGTAGGAACGAATACTCTACGGGGCATTACATCTTTGGTATCTGGATCTCAACTTCACATGGAATCCATTCAGGTGTGGCTGCAAGAATGTCATGAACAGGTTCAGGTGGAGTATCGTTTCTTCGCCCGCAGCCCCTCTGCCCCTTTTCATTATAGTACGACTATTGCGTGGATGCTCAGCTCGATCGTCTTAGGTTACATCCGCCACAGCTGCGCGGATCCACATTCGAATTATATTCCGTGATCAGTGACGTGGATGATAACCCGGAGACAACACCATAACGCGATGGTTGCTGGAAGGGTTCGTTTGGGGCACCTGCGTCGCGGGCAATTCTTTGGTCTCACCGTATTCTGACTATGGCATCGCAACGGCGGGTTGTGGTATGATAGGGAGTGGCCTGGTGATAGAAGGGAACATCCGACCACGAACGACATTTGAGGGCGGGATGTGGGGAATCCAGCAAGAAAATAAAACGAAGCGAACAAAAGGACGATGAAAAGAGGAAAAAAACATACAACAGAAGGGATTCGCTGGTGGTCACCCACCCAACTACTAACCTCCCGGCGTGTGGCTTAAGTACGGCTGAGCGGACGGGAAGCCCTGTTTTCCACACCCTGTGGTCGTATGTGCTCTTTTGAAAAGAGGCAAGGTTTATATAGGGCTGCTAGACGCACTATCAGCACTGGAAAAGTTGTACTGGAAACTTTTCTTGTCGCTGTTACCTAGTAAATCAGCCAACAGCTGCTTGCGCACCAAAGAGATCAGGTAATTGGGGGATATATTGAGGGGGTGTCAAGTACTATCAAGTATGACAAGTTAGGCTACTATTTGAGTCAAGAACCAAGGGAGAATAGTGTGTGTTAACAACTCAGGACAAGGTCCAAGAAGGCCGTGGCATGGGGGGGAAAGTCGCCAGTCCCACGGTAGCTGCAGGATGATCCGGCGTGGTGGTCGACGGGAGTCAGAGATTAGCCCTAAGTACGGCTCAACCCTGAGTACAATGATGTGTCTTCTCTCCCAGTTCAGGGTAGCAGACGCGTCTCGACCGCTACCATTCTCGGGGCTGCGTCAAATACCTTATATAGATGGAATATGGGGGCGGTGATTATCACGCTCACTTATAGGCCAAAAAGGATAAAATCAATTCATGAGTAGCTGAGCTACGTTGGCAAAAACAATGCCGTCCTAGGAGAGGATCGAACTCTCAACCTCACGATTAACAGTCGTACGCGCTAACCAATTGCGCCACCAAGACGTGCCTATGCAAAGCCTAATTTTGGGTGCTTTATGTTATTTTTCAGCACTAGCAGTGAGTTATAAACAGCTCAAATATCAGCACAAGTTCAAGCTGGTGGCTGAAGCTAGCTTAGTCTCAGCTCGCATACTACTTCTTCCGGCCATTCTTTTGCTAATCGGTTTGGTTTTTGCCCGCGTTCACTGGACCATTTGTCTCGTTTGCGTCAGCATTTGGGAGATGCCGAGAGAGAGAGAAAGGGTAAGGTGATATGCTCTGTGATATGGCAGTAGGGACGTGTCCCAGATTCCGTGCGACGGGTCAGATCTGCTGATCCTCTGCTGTCACTACTCTCAAGAGTCGAATCCAGGGGACTTTGGGTGGTGGTTTATGGTCCCGTCGCTTCCAGGCGGCAGCTCTGATCGTAATTTTTGAGTCGAGTCCTCGACATACTCAACTCGGGCATGCGGGCATGCACAACTGAGCTTAGCTGCTGAAACCGGATCTCCAACCCAACCCCACTCACCCCCATAAAAATTGACTTCGAGTCAAAAAGCAACGTCCTAGGAGAGGATCGAACTCTCAACCTCACGATTAACAGTCGTACGCGCTAACCAATTGCGCCACCAAGACGTACTTGCTGAGCTGCCGAAAAAAAGTCTAATAATGACCTAAAAGAATAAATGAGGCAGTGATATGTGTAGTCCCTTCCAGGACTCATGATGCAGACTCAACAAAGAAACTATGGGGATCTGTAATTTGGGTGTGAGTTACTCTGATCATGAGCATATTGATCTATATTCGCGGTGCAAGGTGTATGCGAGCTTTTGCGTAGTACTTTAGGATCGACTTTGTCAAAATGCCTCCCATAATATATTTCATGAGCACCTCACCATGATTTTCGATAAACCAGACCGTCAATACAAAGGCTCCGGGCGGGGCTCTTCATAAGCCGACTATACTACCTAGTCAAGAAGGGTGACCCCCCTGAACTCATTGCAAGAGTGGCAGTTTCTTCACACCCCTTCTGTTCGTCAAGGAGCTTGCTCCAATAGGCGTCATCCCCATCCGACGGAGAATCATTTAAGGGTCAAAGATGTGTCCAAGAAGATACGCACTCAATTCTGCTCGCTCAAATATGAAATACAGACACAGGCTGTCGATGATACATGAACATGACTCGAAGGTGATAATTGTATGGAAATTTAGGAAGCCTCGGTAATCACATTGCCTTCCATACCCTCGGCTGCAGCACCCCACACAGCCGCATGCCAATATCAGCATCTACATCAATTCCCGCAAAGACACGTAGGTATATGCACACTCAGAAGTACCTTAACCGAATGCCATGTAACTGCAGCCACGTGATGTCATAGCCTGCTGCAGGGACTGTGCCCTCCCTCGACCCCGACGCAAACACGGAGCCTCCTATGTCCCCGACCCATTGCAACGTTGCATCCTATTCTATTCACATCTTGACCTCTTGAGCAAGTCTTCTCCCCAGTAAAGTACCAATATGTAAAAGCCCCACCTGCGTTGCCAGAGAACCGGCCTTGCAGGCGTAATGGCAAAGCCTAAGCTCTACATACGGCATAAGATCTGGATCCGAAACACAAGAGACCCTTGGTGAGCTCGGGCCCTCTCAGCCCGAAATAGAACCCAAGCGCGCCTAATGAAGCAGAGTAGGTTCGGGATGCATCCTCCATTTGACTTGGATAGGCTGGATCAATGGCCGGCGCTAAAGAAGTTCTTGGCGCAGTCGGGCGGCTAATTGATGAACAATCAGCTCAATCCCTCCTCGCCCCACGAATTCGCGCTATCGAAGAGTCATATTCTCCTCAAATTGTTATATAGGCAGGATAAGCCATGACCTTGTCTATCTCAGCCTGTTTCTCTCTTCTTGACTCTTGGAACTGGCTGGTTCACCAAAAACAGCGGAAAGACGATCGCACCTGTCGCGGCAATAAGCTCCCGGGTGATACAAGGGTGGCCAGCCCTAATTAGAACCCAGTGCAGCACTGTCATCTCACCCAGAACCTAGGCTGGTTTGCAATATGTCGTTCTACGCGCCTAGTGACACAAGGGACCATGTCCCAAGGCATACACCCAATGCAAATATGGAATGCGACGACGAGTCACAGAATGCACGTCCCAAGCGCAAGCAAAGGAGTTTGTGCCAAAGGGTCGACACCACCGGCGTTCTGACAATTTTCCTTGGGCCACCTTTTCTACTACTCGCAGTTACCTTCCTGGTTCTTTTCTGGTGGGAATCAATAAAAGCGATTCATGGGGGAGATCCCGAGGTTTACTGGTTCCGCATTGTCAATGCAGACTGGGCTACTCGACTGGTCACGATATGCACCACCGCCATCCGGACCGTGATGGCTTTCCAGGCTGGTCTTGCCACAGCAATGGTCGCGGGAATTGTCTTAGAGACCAAAGGCATCCCTCTCCTCCAGGGGCCATTGTACTCCATACTGCGAGCAGTCAAGGTGGCTCCCAGCAGCCTGTTCACAGCGACCAACTTTCGGCCTCATTTGCCGCCTCTCATCTCTACACTTATCATCGCCGAGGTGTTGGTGACCGCAGCATCCCAGTTTCTCTCAACCATTTACCTGTCAGACTTCGCAAATGGCATTTTCACCCAAAATAACAATTCCACAAACGTCAGTCTTCTCGATACCGAGTATTCTATTGCCAGCGGGTGGTGGACAATGCGCCCCGCGGCGAGCTGGACATTCGCCGAGCTGTCGGAAGATTTCAAAGAAGAATCAAACTTTCATGATACTGGACACACCTTCCGAGCCCTCCTCCCTTTCGGTGAAGAGACACAACGAACAAAGCTACGCAGGTACCGTGGACCTGCACCAGTCATGGATCATCGGGTCGTTTGCGCACCTCCGCCTCTGACCCAGCTGCGCCTCGACGTGACCGACCAGGACTATGTACGCCTTTCCGGACAGATTCCCATGCATAACCTGTCCTACCCATTGACTCTGAACGAAGATACACATGCACCTGCCAACTTTACATGCAAACTACCTACGCCTCTTGTTTGGACAAACGACACGGTTGGACAGACCAGCATATGTATTGCCACCCAACAACGTGACTGGACGGTCCTCGCAGAACACCCGCTGATCCAACCGGCTGGTTATCGGAACGCATCAGTAATGTTCATGGTTCTCGACATAGTCTCCATGGCCTCGATCATTCGCGCCGGATCGGAAAATGTCGCTGCGCGGGTAGTCGCCAACGATGGCCCCTGGGCAATGGTGACCTATGGATCCGATAAGAAGACGTTGCGAGCTTCGGCCTGTCTGATTAATATGGCGGTTCAAACCATCGTAGTTGGGATGAACAGTTCGTCAGACAACCCGGAGCCGACAATAAGCTGGGACCGCCACACTAAGAGCTATGACACCGGAGCCTCCCGACGCCAGCTTGGCGCATCGCGAACACGGGAGAGTTTCACCCGCCGGGGGGTCCTCACCCTCGAACCCAGATCGCAGTGGGGGGACGTTCTTCCACTGAAGGACTCCAACTCGGGGGACGATGACCTGCCTGCATTCTTCATGGCAATCGACGTCAGCCTGCCAACCGTGTTAATGTCTAATACCAATTATACCTTCAGCCCCGGCGTGCTACTTGCCAACGACGGCACGGGGTTCTATAGCGGAAGCGCAGAGACAACCCACGTGGAGATATTCCAAGATACGCTCAACGCGACCGCCAGCCCAGCCCTGGCGGTGCAGGCCGTGTTCGCGAGGCTTTTCCAGATGGCATACTACGAACAACTGGTGAAAATGGCCAACATGGCCGCAGCTTCGACGGCGTTCTCCGTCTCCTCGTCCATCCCGTCGCAATGGACCGGTTTCATTATCGGTACGGCGCTCATCGCAACTCATCTCGTCATCGTCACCATCATCACTATCCAATATATGAGAAACACAAACAGCTCGATCATTGGCAACTACTGGCAAACGGTGTCTCAGGTGGTTTCCGAAGAAACGTATCCTATCCTGGAGCAGGCGGATGGGATGGACGACGGGGAAGTCAAACGCTGGGCCAAGCGCAACCTTCATAACCTGCAGAGCCACCGCACGCTGAGAAGCCAGCATAATGGGCGAACCGCTCTGGACATCGGAACGAATGGTAAATTTTAGATTGTGCATAAAGAGGACAGCGCGCTTGTCGATTTCAATTATCATTGGTATGCAAATTCATTAGAGTACTACATAACTCAAAAATTCGACAGATCTTTAGCAATAATTGTACATATATCTTAGACAAAGTTGACTATTAAGCAGAGGGTGCGTGATGATAGCGGACATAATTATATTGGTCAACAAACATATTCTGATGTATCTTTAGATTTCCTACAGAAGTTGTCTGGGTGGCGCAATTGGTTAGCGCGTACGACTGTTAATCGTGAGGTTGAGAGTTCGAGCCTCTCCCTGGACGCTTACTTTTATTGTCCATTTTTTGTCACCTTGACGTGGCTATCCAGCGTACCTACCTATCACTTACCATAATACGTAAATAAACCATGCCTGACCAACCTATATAGGGCGTGCCTATCCCAGGAACGAACAACTAATTGGCCAACGCTCATCTATGAATCATTCAATTCACATAATCATGATCCGTTCACGCTTCTGGCATTTTACAATAGACTAAAACATCCCATCCAGCGGCAAACGACTGGACTCATTTGACTTCTTCTAGTCCTTTCTGACCTCGGAAGGCGTCGTTGATGCTTGGTTTAGAAGTTGGCGGCCCGAAGCGGAGGATGGAGAAGAGGGAGACGATGTCCTAGCTTTACTCGGAAGTCCCTGAACACGTCCACCGCGCATTATGCATCATGGATCATGGATGACTGAGATGCGACCCGCTATGTTCTCACGCAGGATGGGCGCTTGATAGGTGGTGGAGCTACCAACCAAAACATTAGTAGGTCTACTTACATACACTCTCCTACCTCCCTGCCACACGGTGCTTTAGGGTGAGGCGATCTCATGAGGCTGTACATGATATTCGAACTAAATTGCATAATCTAGTGGAACTTCGATATATGAAGCCATTTTATCCCGGAACTCGAATTGAAAAGTTCCGCCCCCATCCCTGGTCCGTCAACAATCTTGTCAGAAGCCGGAACTTACCTGCCGGGGAGTCTGAACAAGTCTTTTGTTGTGCTTTAGCTATTCGCCCCGGGACTGCTTCTCGAGCTATAAAAACTCATATTACGCCGCAGAAAGCTGCAGCAATCACCATACGCAATTCAGGTTAGTCGAGCATTGTGTAACAGTATGAATAGCATCATGAAGTCATCTGCTCGCACCCTCGAGGACCTCCCGTCGGAGCTCTTCAGGCAGATAGCCGAGCTGCTTGATAGGAAGTCCCTTGGCGTCTTGAGACAAGTGTCGAAAAGAACAAATCTCGAGGTCACCGACGTCTGGCTGTACGACCGCCTATTGCCCCTACAAATCAAGTTCAGGAACAGCCCGGACAAAAGTGTATACTTGCGCCCATTCAATTCAGGGGAGCCGCAGCACCGAGTCCGGGCAAAGGAGTACAAGGCCCTCCAGAGCTGTCGACGGCTGGTTCTCCAATTCCCCTCAAGCCTCCGCTATTATCTGACGATCCCCGATAGCCCCCATAATCTGGCCGTGAGCTTGTTCGCTCTGGTTCGCTTCATGATCGACAATCCCACGACGGAGCTCGAATCACTGACCCTTTGCGAGCCGTGCAGTCACTGGCGGGACGTGTCCAGGATCGATTGGAGCTGCCACAGATGCGACCGCATAGCCTCGTATATTTTGAAACCCCGGCCGGAATACAGTCTGAAGAATTATTACCCTCGTATTGCTTTGACTACACCTGCCCACTGGAACAAGCTCACCCAGCTGATTGTCTGGCCGCCAGTGCTGTCCGAGGCCGAACTTATGGTGAGGCAGCTGACGACTATCATCCTAGACAATGCCCGCAACTCGAAGACTTTCGTTTGCTCTCCCGCACCGGCACCCGCAGATACGGGGATACCGGAGAGATTCTCCGACACCTGGCGCAACTGACCCGCCCGCCTCCTCTCAAACGGTTCGAAGCCAACTGGGCCTATCATCGATTCTCGAAAGATCTGAAGGCTGTCCTCAGGCTGTACGGGAGTCGCTTGGAGAGTGTCACACTCCTGATCGACTCCAAACTCGTAAAGGAAAGCTATCCGGAGCAACTCTGGGCGCTCTGTCCGGCTGTGACACAGGTGGTCAATTACCACAACAATGACGTGGTTTTGGCTAGTCGAGGGCTTTATGGGCGCGAGTTAGCAGGTGAAAGTGGCTATCATGTCTACCAAAGCTCAGACTGGGTCCGGCTAGACGGCTCGACAGCGTGGACGCGCAGTGACGTGGTGAGCTGCGATCCGTTTTGATAGGACTAGACTATGAGGTATGGTGCTGATTTGTAAGATATGGCGAACTTAGCCCTAAATTGTCTCCTGCATTCCTCTTTCCAGCTTCGATTTCTCTATCATGCGCGGTCAGTTTGGCTTGAACGACCCGACCACCTTCCTCTTGCTAAGTAAGTAGCGAATTACTGAATGGGATATGCTTTAAGACAAGTAATTATTCTGGTCAATATCAATAGTAAAACTCAGATCTAAACCATAAATACGCAGACCTGTCGACGGCCCCAAATATACTTTAACTAATATGAGCATAGTATGCTTCAGGCTGATGCGCCGTATAATAAGAAAAAATGCTCTAACTTTTTACATTCCTTGGCGCTCCTTGTCTTCTAGCTCGCTACTTTTCTCTTCTATACCTTTTATTCCTGGTACTTGGCATCGTAATTCGAGGTATGTGCACAAAAGGTACATGATACCACAGTATCGGCGGATCTCCACCATGAGTGCCACCATCACGAATTTTGCTCAATAAGTTTAGCAGGCGTGAGCCTCCCTACAGATAGCGGCCAGTCACGGCGGCAAGGGCATCGCGCGGATCTCAGTCGGCCGAACGACGGATGCCATGGAAACTAGAAGGACTAACCCGAGAGCGGGTTCAAAGCCGGTCATCGGTCCCTCAGACTTTAACTTCAGCTTGTCGTGCGGACTGGTAGAGTTTCATGCATGTATATCTCTTTGGTTCATCATTGCCTCCAAGACCGCCAGTAATGACCTCAACACTAATCCTAGAGCGTAGAGTTAGGGAGCGAGCGAGCCTGATCGCGGCCCTCTTCTTTACACACGTTTTGGCTTCCTTTGTCTCAATCAGACCAATAGCATTGCATCCATCGAGTTTAATGAGCCCAAACAACACGGAGAAGAGTGTGCGTCGTCTACCATCGAAGTTTCACTAGTAGAGCGACCTCATCGCTGAGCCGGATCATCCACCGTGATATTCCTCCCCGACGGGAGTGCGTATCACGAGTGTAACGACCAGGGGAAAGCTTGTTGGGACTTCAAAAATATCAAACCAGGGTGTACTGTACGACTACAAGTCACCCGGCACGGCAAGATTCCGATTGATTGGAGATTATCAGAGCAAATGACTTGCGGTAAGTTTGGATATTGTCACCGGTTCTAGATCACTGCCCAATCAGACGAGCGTAGGATTGTACAATACCAGGGGCCGAAGGGTCAGTTCTGCTTCACAGTCACACAATGCCACACCCATTTAGCGTCAAGAGGCACACTACTCCGTACTATAGATTGAGATGCAACCGCTATCCATGGATCAGAGGTGCAATCCAGAATTAAAGAGGAGAAGACACATTCCATTCAAAAACCCTCACTCTGATCAGTCGCTACAGATCCTTGACATACCTCAAAATCTCAAAAAATGAAGTATTTCCTCGCCATCTTCTTCGCTTTCGCCGCCGCTGAACTGAAGCCGCTCATTGTCGGCGGCTCAAAGGTCTCAATCGAAGACTACCCCTACCAGATCGCCCTCCTCTACGGCGGCTATCGCAACTGCGGCGGCAGTATCATCAGCCGCAACCACGTTGTGACAGCCGCCCACTGCGTCTCCAGCGCTCGCGCCAGCGAGCTGAACATCCGCGCCAATTCCTCCCTCTGCGACTCCGGCGGAACAGTCGTGAACATCTCCAGCATTACCATCCATCCCAACTACTACGCACCAAGACTGGACAACGATATCGCCATCTTGACCCTTGCCGAGAGTCTGACCTATGGGCCTGGAATCCAGCCCGTGGGCCTCCCTGAGCCCGGGTCAAACTTGATTTCCAATGGTAGAGAAGCCGTTGTCTCGTGTTGGGGCTCTATAAGCGAAGGGGGCGCCTCGTCACCTAAGCTCCGGGCGGTAAATGTGTCTGTGGTCAGTATGGAGGAGTGTAGAGCGGATTACCGAGGCCTGGGCCACATCACTGATAGTATGTTCTGCGCGGGGGCTATCGATAGCGGGAAGAGCGCCTGCAATGGTGATAGTGGTGGTCCTGTCGTTGCGGATAAAATTCTGATTGGGATTGTTTCCTGGGGGCATGGTTGTGCTGGGAGGGGGTATCCTGAGGTTCACTCCAACATGGCTTACCTGCGGAATCTTATTACACAGACTACTGGGCTATGAAAAATTCCTTGGTAACGGCGGTAAAGGGCGGATGCAAGCAGGGTACACTTCCAGAGTGCATGAATATAGTACCTTGGTATGGCGTAGGGCTGAGAGCCCACTGTCGGGGTATCTTAAGCAGTGGGTCCTCGGAATCAGTACATATGTCGTATAATCCAATTACCTGTACAGACTCTGCAGCGTCAAGCTACCACGTGTTGCCAGCCGAAGTACAAGTCGCACGGGTGGAAAACTCTTCCTCTGGAGACCCGAGTGACGGCTAATTGGTAGGTAGGAGCTCGCACTGCACAGCTTCTTCAGTTACCAGAGAGTGACCTAGCATAGCAGGCTATTATACATGTTGAGTGGTTATAATATAAGCTACCATTGCATTAATAATAGTGTTAGGATAGGTTGCAATTTCATTATCGCGGGTAGATAGTGCCCTATGGATTCCACTTTTTCAAGAACTAAATAGAAGCCTCTGCATTCGCATCACGGTATGAGGAAAACCTGATTCAGGAAAAAACTCATACCCAGGCCTAGACAGAATCAAACTCGCCCCATATACAAACCTCAAGCATCCACATCTGGTATCTGGAGTCAAAACAGCTCAGCTGACTTCCAGCAGCCATTTCGGTGCTAATGTTCAGGCTGCCCCCTACATCTAACGTTGACATCCTCAGACTCGGCAATGGGATCCTTGTTAAACTCGGGGTTCTTCCAGGTATCCATGGCCCAGATCCTCCATCCCTGCCTGGAATGCCGGCCAGATCAGTACGCCGGTTGCTATATCCTCTAGACAATAAATCTACCCGCATGGAATATCCCAACACGCCGGAACGTCATGTTGATTTGTGTGCCGGATGTTCACCGGATTGTCGTTGAGTTTTATAGATCGCATCTGGGGCTCATGCGCGAAGTGCGTGAGCCAGAAATTTGCCAGGGGCCCTTCATGTCTGGTGGAAGAATTAGTCATTTGCTTGGAAAGAACAGTATTTTGTCTGATCAAATTGATAGAAATATATTCAACATACTCTGCCACGTCGTCCCAATTGAATGACCAGTTCGTCCCGGGGATTATATCTTGATGGGGGGCTGCGATCTTCGTTTTATGACAAAAATAACGAAGAGCGTGAGAAGCTATATACAGATTCTTCTGGGAAGGTAGAAAGTGATTTAGGAGTTAGATGGCTGCTTCAAAAAACTTGTTGCACGGCACGGGAATCGGAGTGTGGGTGCCTCTTATTTATATCCCTAATCCGCCGGCAAGCCATTCACCCTGTCTATGACAACTTTGTCCTCGGTTTCACATTGTTGATTCAGAATGTACGACACGGATTCATTGAAGCTATACATGCGGTGTAAGTAAGCGTCTGATATTGCCACCATTGTTCTGTGTTGGACCCTTGCTGTGATAAAAATTCCGCTTTCGCAGAGATGCTTACATGCAGTGTACATTGAATAGAGAAAAGAATAAATAAGACCAAAAAGATGCAAACATGACTTGGCCGTTGCAGCATAAGATAAAGCCCTATCAATATTACTACATCCGTCGGTCAGCATTTATATAGCTTGAATAAGCATATACATGTATCCTCGGCGCAGAGGACGTTGTCATATATCTCTGCTTGCAATGGCAGGGAAAGAAGACGTGATACCCAGGCTTGAAACGTCATCCCGAGTCATATAGCACAAGCATATTCTGCTATGAAGAGCTGGCAGTGAAGATCAAAGATTTCTCCGGTGGAGTTACGTTTAGGCGGATCTGAAACGCCTAGATAACTACTGACTATACTGGCCCCTGGCTGTTTCTCAAGTTGCACAGGGTGTGTAACTGGGTGTATATAGTAAATCCCGGCTTTCATTACAGCTGACTTTACTTCTTTAGGCAGAAAGGCAAGGTCAACTGCTGAGATTGATAGGGAAGCAGGACGAACACCGCACAGAACTAGGGACTATGAGGGATGAGGCAGGACATGGTCGCTGATCCCGAACTACTCCGTGGTGTGAGGACACAGCGGCACAATCTGATTAGCGTGTATCCTCATTTTGCCCTTCGACTCATGCTCCTATGAACACTGAAGTGGTATTCCTGCAGAACTAGCCAAAAACCCCTTGACACCCACCAAAACACCGTCACAATGGGTGTCGCATTGGAAGTGCCGCCGAAAGTGTCCGTATGCCACACGAGCTGGACTTGCCTTGCAAATCCCCGTATATGGCGGCGGCCACTTTCAGTCCCCAGCCGTGCGCGTCCACATGGCTGCCGTAGTTGGAAAACCAGGTCCGCGATCAACCGGGCCCATGGTCGGAGCCGTTGATTCCAGAAGGAAGGTTCGCGGCGCCCACCAACATGGCCCCTGAGAACAGATCTGCAAGATTGAAGGGATTGGGACAGGGGCTGGGAAAGCCAGGAAGGAGAGTCTCGTAGATGGGGTCATCCAGATTCTCGATCCGTTGCCCCTGGCCTCGATCACATTGATCTCCTTCGCGATAGCATACCTGATGAAGACAAAACTATCCGGCTACCATTCGGTAGCAATGCATCCTTCCTGACAGTTGCCAGTGGCCTTTGAGCCCGGGCGATGTTCCAGGATGATAAAATCTCGGCGCCTGAGGAATTTGGTGGCGTTTTATACAGCGGCTCATTCTATATTCTTCGCTGGAGAAAGATTTCTATGATGCCAAAGTAATTCTCGTTGGTGCTTGGTCAGAACGTGCTACGCTATGAAGAGCGACTCACTAGCTACGCTCACACTATTGATGAGATAATATATGCGTTGTGATATTCTAAGAATTATTTGACATGGTAGAATAGATATATGGCGAAATGGTGAAAGAGATATCTCGGGCTAGCCATCACTGACCGTTCATTGTTCCACAGACCTGGGTCCATCGATCTCGCCTTAACCAGTCGAGCTACTCGACTCGAGCTTTTCTTGTTCTTTGCACTAGTGTGAATAAATCGGAGCTTATGCGATCTCGAGCCCAGAGATCTGTGGCACGTCTGGAAGTTGTCATACTCTCACAAGCTTCCTGATTGCTCTTTTTGATTCGCTATCCTTGCGCAATGTGCACTGGTGAGACCAAATTCCTTTTACTCTCATACCCTCTGCCATTCAGCCTATTCTTTTCTTCATGAATTGGAGTCTTTAAGTGTATCAATTCGACGCCCTATGCGACCAAAATTCTAAATCCGAGCCGAGGGTCAGAAATTCGAAACTTGGGACCGTAGTATCCCACGGAATCTTGCTCGTTCACGGCATTATCCTCCAAGCTCAAGAGGTATAGGGCCTACCCCGACTCTCGCGGCAGCTGCAACGCTCAAAGCACGACTTCATGTACATACAGCACTGTACAGACAGATCAAACCACGTACGGCACCATGGCCTTTTCCCCCGGGAGGATACCCACTCATACTATTCTCACAACCACGAACTTGATGTTTCGCCAATTCTCGCGATCTAACAATTCAACACTTCCGCTGGCTTGTTAATAGACGTAGGTTAGTTGGCAGGATACGCTTAATCTGGGCACCTACTTTCATATAGACAGCCTAAAGCCCACATCCTTAAGCAACGAACAGACTATACAACGAATGGCTTAACTAGAGAATATACTGCTACATTCACCAGGGGCTATGCCCCTCCTCCTTATAGTCTATGAGCTGATCCTTCAGATTATGTCTAAACCAGGGTACAAGATCATAAAAACCAGTATTACTAGGACCTTGGAAAGACAACGATGCATTGCAGTCAGGGATAAACCCGAGCAGAACCCGGGTCATTGGTCCAACCATCAGAACAGATAATAGATCTCCAGGCAAGAAAAAGACCAGACTGAGACCGGTTCCATCGCTGACCTAGACTGTACAACTCTCTGGTAGTGGCACAAACGTGTCGAACCTGTCAACTTGGACGCAGATACATACCCCGCAGTTCGAAATAAGCATACGTTGTCATACTAAACAACGTGGAGAACAAGTACTATGAGGCAGGATGACTCTGTAACCGTTACACGGATGATCTTGGAGTCCGATCGATAGGGCTGTGGGAGGACCTGGATATCTGCTCTTGCGAGAATATGCCTAGGAAAACTGAGAGACACGAACATGGGTGAAGTCCATTTTATTGGCAGAAAGGAGGACCTGGGGCTTCAGATGTGTAAACATACGGCGAAAAGGGTACATAAACCATCGAAATAGCACGAGTTATCGGCAAACAATACTGACGATATCGCGACAACGCGGTGTCTTTCAGCGAGCTTCAGATCTCAAATTTTAGTACTGTAAAATTTGTTGTTTGCACCACAGGGACAGAAGTGGATGATCCCAAAGAGGTTCCGAAATTGGTGCAGGCGTGGAAGTGGTGGAATTCTGGTTTACGGAGGAGGTTATTTCCTAAGCTGAACACAGCGGGCAGCATGAGAATAAAAGAAAAGCTGGGTGTGATCTAGCTGTGAGGTCCGCGGGGTGTGTGTTTACCCTGCAACTACTGGATTGAGGCCCCCCGACAAGGTAAACATGCTAGCTTCTGTTTATTCAGAGTAATGCACGGACTTTAAGATGGTTTCACTGAAGCCTACACGTTTATACAGGGGACCTGATTCATGCCGTTAGCCAGACACGGCTTAAAAAGAAAATACATGGAGAAGGGTAGAGAATGTGCGAGAACGCCCAGGTATTATGGAGAGGGAAGATGACCCCCACGGATATCACGAAAGACAAGTCTATTTGGAGAACATCGCCAACCAACACTTAGAAGAGATTCCAGCCCCGGCTCCGCGGTTCCCGGGCGCCTAGCGGACGGTCCGTGTTCCCGCGCTTGCCGCGACCGTCGAGCTGGCGGATGCTCTCGATCTTCTGGAGGGCCAGTTCGAGAAGCTCCTTCCGACGGATCACGTCGAGGTGGCTGCGGATTCGCGGGTCCTCGCGGGCGAAGCGTTCGACCTCGGCGTCCGAGAGGTGGCGACCGAGCCTCATGTCGAGCTCGCGCGGGAAGTTGTAGTAAAACTCCGAAAGGAGCTCCACGTTGAGGAACAGCACCGCCGTCGACGTGAGCTTGTCGGCGACCACGTCGAGGAAGACCTCCGGGCAGTAGTATTTGTTCTTCTGCGAGGCACATTGCTTGGAGCGGACGGCGAGGAGTCGCATCTTGATGATGTCGGCACGGTCGCGGAGGAAGGCACTTTCTCGGCCTGGTATTGTTAGTTAGTCACTGATTCGATATTGCACCGTATAATCAGAAGGCGGAGAGCATACCTCTGGCAAGTAGGTCGGCACTAAATCCACCAGCACCGCCAGCGCCATCACCCTCCAAAACCACTTCGCCCTTCCGGACCTTGTCGACAAATGACATTACATCCTTGAGCTTCCGTCTTCCGACGGAGTCTTCGACATGCTTGAATGCAGACTCGCAGGCCTTGAGTTCGTCCTTGAGCACCTTGCTGACGTTCTCCCGGCCCTTCGACCACTCAGGATCCTCAACCTCGATTTCGTATTTGTAGGGCTTGATGCAGTTCTCGACTTGGTCGCTAGTACTGAAGAATCTGTCGTTCAGAATGCTGTTACAGGCATCAACAATCTGCTTCTGGGCGTAAGGATGAGCGGCAAACGTAGAGTCGGCCAATAGCCGGTCAACGTGATTTTGGATTGCGTTGGCAACGACTGTCGTAGCGAGTCTGCCAATCCCCAGCTTGGTCAACGAGGAAGTCGAAGCGTCAAGCTTGCGATGCCAATATAGCGACTCGGGATCCGCCTTTGGGAGGTCGCTCAGGGGATCTAACTCCGGCATTGGTGCGATGAGGTTTTCTATCGGCTTGTTCCAGTATCTCTGCGCCAGGATATCCATCACTCTCTGGTCGAGTTCGCGTTTCAGCATTTCGCGGACTTGAGGCCGGCCAAAGCTCTCGGCAAATGCTTTGAATGAGTGCTTGAAGCTGTCAAGGCTCTCGGCCAAGTATGATTCTGCACTGAGAGGCCGATCGTTGTATTGCACCTTGAACTCGTAGGTGGCCTCCTCCAGCTCTTGACTGATAGCATCCCTAGTACCTGCTAGGCTCGATGCCATCGTCTGCTCGAGAACATGCATCAGCTTGTTGCGCAATGTGTTCACACCAACAGACACGTCCGATTGCGGCCCGAATTCGGATTGGTGTTGCGAAAAGTAGGCGTTCTCGTTCTTTAAGATGGCACCGGTGATGTTGCCACTGCCCCTAGAGAAGAGAGCCGTCGTCTGAGGAATGCGGCTAACTACGCCAACGTAGCCCAGGCGAAGAGGGTATTTGGTGTCGGACAGGATGCTGTGGCCCCTATCAGGATCAACGAGGTCCATCTTCGTGATGACTCCAATCGTCCGTTCACCCCTAGGATCTACCCGGCGACTGGCTCGTAAAGCAGTGGAGTTGGCCAAATCCACATCGGCTGCTGAGATGGCCAGAATGACATTTGGTGGTTGAATGTACTTATCACAGAGATCCGAGATCCTCTGCTTCAACTGCGGCGGCTGGTCGCGTCCAGCAACCTGGATGTAGCCAGGAAGATCGATGAGAGAGAGGTCAGGAACATGGGGCGAGTAGATCGTGAGCTGGATGGGATCGTCGGAGACACAGTCCCTCTCCGGAACCGCCAAGTTCAAATCGGTCAAGGTACGCTGAATTTGCGAGAAGTCGGTGATCTTGCCAAGGCCCAGCGCGGGAAATTCTCCATACTCAGCCTGTGCATTCGGAGTGTTGACAAGGGTGAGCTCGATCGGCCGGCGGGTGACCATATTCGAGCCCTTCGGAAGGAACTCATGCCCGACAATAGCCTCCAGAACGGAGCTCTTCCCGGACGACTGGGAGCCGATGACGACGATCGACGGCAGGGTCAAGGTATTCGACTGGCCAACGCTCTGCAAGATGTTTCTGATCTCAATCATCTTCCGCGTGAGCAGCATCATCTGGTCGTCCTCCGCGATCTGCCGGCCGGCGCGAAGATCCTCCTCGTCGGACTGGTCGTATCCCAAAGCTCCACCAGTGGCCGCACCAGCGGCAGCCGCGCCGACCCGACTCTCCTTGGGACCCTTCCCACCGCCACCACCCCCTGAGCCCCCGTTATCCGACTGCGGCTCATTCAACCTCAGGATCTTCTGCAGCCACTCCGGCAGGTCAACATCCTCCGTCGTCTTCTGCCAACCGCGCTGAGTCTGCTCCGCCACATTTTGAATCTCCTGAAATAAACTCGAGGCCGCGCCGCCCGCCGTTTCCCCCGCGCGTTTAAAGATATCGATAGCGTAGTTTCCGGCCTCTATGTAACCAGCAAACAAGTCAGATCAGAACAAGAATCTAAGAAAAACCCAGCAAAAACTAAACTCACGCGCAGCTTGGTACTGGATGTAAGCGAAGCCGGCCACCATGGCCCCGCCGAACATGGCCGGCAGCCGCACGAGCTTCAGGGCCAGCTTGGGCAGGATCCGGTGGAAGGAGATGGCCCGCACAGCAGGCACATTGTGGATGGCGTTGGCGCCGATAGGCCAGGGACGTCGTCGCAGGGCGGCACTGCCATCGGAGCGAAGCAGGCCTCCCGTGCGGGCAGCGGCGTTGTGAACATGGCGGGCCAGATGACCCGTCCGCAGGAGCGGAACAAGACGGTGGGAGAGGATCCTCCCGCTCATGACGGCCGAAATATCATATACGCTGGATCTCGATCACTGGGTATTCAGACAGGGTGATTCATCTCCAAGGCCTCAAGCCACGGGGTTTATCTGAAATTTTGTCTCGTAGGGAGGATGCAAAGTTTGGCGGAATAGTGGCGAGTGGAAGCAACAAAGGCCAAGCAGAGAAGTAGCTGGAAAGCGAGGAAGAGAAGGAGATCGATCTCAGGGAGATTCGATCATGTCATCGTCCCGCCTTTCCGGCGGCCGGCCTTTCCTCCGTCACATGGGGCACGTGACAGTCCTGCACCACTGGCCGCGTCGCCCGCCGGACAAAGTACGGTGTGAGTCACGTGGATCTGGACGCCATACCACTCGACAATAACCCAATATACCCTCCCAGATTTGTCATCTGACGGCCGAAATTCGAACTGAGACCGAGTCTGAGACGAGTTTGAAATTTCTAGATAGTATAAGTAAGGCGGTGCTGTCCTGCGCGTGTGTGCTGGGTTGAAGAAGCAAAACTGCTCCGTTGTCGGATCACAAGCTGTGACTCCGCGCGCCAGGCCGACTTACATACATTTCCACTCCCAACGCTGACATCACCTGGAGGCTTTATAGGACTGGAGACGCCAGGAGTCTTCTTTCTTCTTTAACCAGTTACTGCATTTAAACAGCATTGCAATGTGTCGCTTTCTAGTAAGTGCCTATACAGCTAGCTCCTATTTCATCTTCCAGAGCAGCCCGCTGACCGCTTCCCATCAGGTATACAAAGGCCGCCATGAGATTCGTCTCAGCAAGCTGGTGACCGAACCCAGCCACTCCATCCTGACGCAGTCATACGATTCGCGTCTAAGACTGGTAAGTCTGCGGATCGAGGCTGCGAAAGTCTCTCCAGGCAGTCAATTCTCGAATTCATAACTTCCTTCTTCTACCCCCACTCCCCTAAT